AGAATACTGTAGAATGAGACGGCAGCGCTTATGCAGTATGGTTTCCACTTTACGTAGAAAAAGTATGACAGCGTGAATCAACAGTTTATCGTGAAAAATTAGCAAAAAGAGGTGCTTTTTTATCGAGTTTTTCAATGCTCCAACGTTCACTTTCGTGTCACATAGCGTAGCAAGAATCTTTAAAACATAGAAATCCAATAACGGTAACGAAATAATGGTAACAGACAGTAACAGTAGCAATGATGATGACGCTAATATGGAATTAGTTGGATCCGAAAAGAACGCAAAAACTGGATGTGGTGAGGATTCAAGTAGAGTGTCGAATATGCACAGCGTGAAGAGCCGATAGGTTGACCTTCAGCGTTGGAGACGAAGAAATGCTTCAGTGAGGGATACTGCTGCTGTTGCTGCGGCTGGTGAATGCGATTTATATGCAGAGGGTGGGCATCTAGTGGACAGTGGTCAGTGCTGATTGGTGTGGGTAGTCCTCTTACTTCTCTTCGGACCGTCCAAAACTTCTGTCGCACTGCATGCTGTTCTCGAGGCTCAAATGGAGCAGAGAAGCGATGACGCGGAAATAACATCGTTTTTCTTATTAAAAAATGTGGAGGGTGCAGAGAAAAAAACAAACAAATATGCAAATATATATATGCGTCTATCTGTCTGTGTGTGCAGCTCGAGTCTGGAATAAGGAAACCCTGAGCTCCTGCTGTAGCTGCGCAGTACAACATCTTCGTACCTGTTATGTAATAGCCAAACTCCTCCACTGCTCCTGCTGCTGGCTGCTCCGCCACGGAATTGGCGGGATGGTCATACTTGAGGGCAAGGAGGAAGGGGGAAGGGTCAGCAGGCATAGTGGAAAATGAATGGACAAATTTAGCTTTCTTTATGCTTACACATTTGTGAAAAATTTAGCAGGGAAGGCTATCATTGATCCACAAAAATATGAAATTTTAATTACAGAGATGTAATGTATGTCTGGAAAAATACCAGCATTTAGTCAAAAAACAAGCATTAAAATCAATTCAGAGCTTCTAAACTGGGCAAATGGCTCCAGAAATGCTAAATTTTAGCGCAGTGTTAGCAGTGGTACTGTATTTCAAAATGGAAAGAGAGCAGAATTATAGCTCGAGAGGGCGGAGAAGAAAAAGGAGGAAGGAGAAATGAGTAAAATAATTCAAAGGTCCATTTTCAGTGCTTTCAGACCCGCTAAAACTGAGGGACACCAAAAACACAAGCGGAAAAAACCCGCGATTTCAAGAGGAGGTCAAAAACAGAATTCTGATAGACCGAAAGGGAAAGGGAGAAAGAGGGGAAAAAAAATAAATAGCAGCGCACACCAGAATAGCCGATCCTTACGCACGTCTAGGCCCCGCGTATGAGCGCGCGGAAGATTTGGCAGGAAAATCGCTAACTCAGGGACCAGAAAAGCCAGAAAGCTGAAATTTTGGGGTTATGTTCCCCGTCCACACAGAACTTAAAGATTTCAAATTCGGCCTCGAGGTATGCGCGGTTCTCCCATATGGCCCTGTGAGGGTTCTGGAGGAAAAATCGCTAACACGGGATCCAAGAAAGCTGGGAGGCTGAAATTTTAAGGGAATGTTTCCAGCCCATGTACAATTGAAATTATCGGACTGCGTGGTTCTCAGGCGTGCGTGGTCTTCACGTGGTTCTCACTGGTTCTCAGGTCCCAGGCGTGCGTGGTTCTCACGTACAGCCCCGTGAAATTTTTTGGAAGGAAAATGGCTAGCTCGGGAACCGGAAAGCTGGGAGGCTGAAACTTTCAGGGAATGTTCCCAGCTCATCTACATCTTAAATTTATCAGATTCAGCCCTCAGTTGTGCGCGGTTTCCACTTACGGCCTCGTGAAAATTTTTGGCGGGAAAGTGGCTAACTCCAGAACCAGAAAGGTTGGGAAGCGAAATTTTCAGAAAATTTTTTAAACTCATGTGCAACTTAAATTCATCGAACCCAGCCCCCGGGCAATGTGTGTTTGCCACGTGCGCCCCTGTGAAAGTTTTTGACTGGAATATATGTAACTCGTAAACTGAGAAGGCTGGAAAGCTGAAATTTTAAGGGAATGTTCCCTGTCCAAATACAGCATAGACAATTAATTTCCCGAAATTCGAAGACCAGTATGTCACTCATTTCTAGCTGCTGAGCTTTCGAGCGATCTCATTACAGTACGGAACACTGCAAAAACGCATGATAGCATGAGTCAGCCGGAGTGCATGACGCCAATGATTTCGACCAGTCCCAAAGAGGAATCATGCAGAATGTTCAGATTTCTTTGCAGTCACAAGCAGCAATGAGAATTGTTCAAATGACCAGCGGTGAGATGACGTCCGGCCGCACAGCTCTGGTTCGCTTACCATCACTACGCTGTCGATTCTGTCATTTTGACACAAGGTCAGAGGTCGTTAGGACACTCCAAAAAGAGAATGCCTGACCTCTCTTCAAACTCTTCATGCCCTTCCCAATCGACCCGCATATCCTCATCCATTTCACAGAAGCCCAAACGCAAAAGCCAGTTCCAGGAATCGGCTAATATGGACTATCCAGAAGCATCTCTTCCAAATCTCTATTCCATACGAGAAGTACAGACTCCGAAATAAACTGAGTGAAATACCTGTTTCTTCCGAGGGCCGACCGAAAAAGGTGCAAGGGCGTTAATCTCGTGTAGCAATTTCTATTCCCTAAACGTGGGCAACACAGACTGCTTGGCTTATGAATATAAAGATCACTGAAATTAATGGTTTGCCGTCCCCTCCCTCTCCTTGCTCCCCGTCTCAGCGGATCCATGTGTACCAAGAAAACAGCTATAAATGACTTGATAAGTTATGCAACGGATGTGTCCTCCCTAGCTGACCGTGATCCGGGAGTTGTAGCTTTCGGTGCTGCTCAACACACACCAGAGCCATCTTGAAATGGCTTTCTAGGTACTTTTGCTGGGAGAACCGTTGAGCTGCTGATCCACCCAAGCGACGGAACCACTCGGGCGACTTCCCAGGGTATGGCGCAAATTGAACGAGCAGTGGACAACAACTGGAGGTGTGCAGTTCAGGATGAAAGGGCCTGGCACAACTGTACAGCTTGTGGGAGTATTCCAGTAACATCACTAACATGGGATAGCCAGACTGGTTGGCCAGGAGTATATGCATATAAATCATTAGTCTCTACTTCTCACCGCAATATTTTTTCTAAACTTAATATAGTTGTCGAAAAGAATTTTTTTTTTACTTTAGTGATTTTTTTTTTGTTTCCGTTGGCTTCCTTGTAAATTTTGTAGATTTTCTTTAAAAGCTATTTTTATGCGTTTTTGC